CAAACGCTCTACTACAACCCCCGAAGTGGTAATCTCAGTCGATGCTGAAAAAGTGTTTGACAGGGTTGAATGGGACTACCTGCTTACAGTATTACATAAATTTGGATTGGGTGATACATTTACTTCTTGGATACGCCTTCTGTATACATCCCCGCAAGCTAGTATCTCCACCAATGGTATTCAGTCAACTTATTTTACTTTATCCCATGGCACTCGACAAGGTTGTCCCTTGTCTCCTTTACTGTTTGCATTAGCTATAGAGCCCTTGTCAATTTATCTGAGGTCCTCCCTCTCTTTCACTGGGATATCACGTTTGGGCATGGAATTTAAACTTTCTCTGTATGCGGATGATTTATTACTCTATGTTTCCAACCCAAGTCACTCTTTACCTGGAATTCTCTCCTTTGTCCAGAGATTTGGCTCATTTTCAGGTTACAAAGTTAACATTTCCAAGAGTGAGTGCTACCCGGTTAATACTTTGGCATTATAAATGAATCAATCTGATATCCCCTTCAGAATGAGCCCCTCTGGCTTTAAGTATTTATGAACTGCTAACTTTTCCCCGTTGATGTCTGAAATCAAAACTTACCTTCAACGATGGAGGTCATTACCTCTGTCGCTGATAGGAAGGATAAACACGGTAAAAATGAATATCTTGCTTAAGTTCCTCTTTTTATTCCAATGTCTCCCTCTATTCGTATCAAAGAGATTTTTTAAGACTATGGATCAGGACATTTCTAGCTTTTTATGGTGTGGTAAGACACCCAGAATAAGTAAGTCAATGATTCAGAGATGTAAGCTCAATGCTGGCCTCTCTCTTCCAAATTTCCAGTTGTATTTCTGGGCATCGCATATTCATAAAATCTTATTTTGGTTGAGACCAGCGCATTCCCCATGGTGTACGTTAGAGGTACAGTCATGTAGCTCGTCCTCTCCAATGGCTCTGCTTACCTCACCTACTTCTACCAACTTCTCTGGCTTTACAGACAACCCTGTGGTTAGCTTAACTCTAAAAATCTGGTACCAGTTCAGGAAGAATTTTAAATTCGTCTCCACGTCTGCCTTAGCTCCATTACTGAAAGGTCATTAATTTCATCTGACCCCACATTTGCTTATCTCTCTATAAGGATGGGGCTTTTCGCAGCTTTGCAGATCTGTCGAGCGAATTTCAGCTTCCACCGTCGCATCTTTTTCGCTATTTCCAAGTTAGACACTGCGCAAAATCACTGTTTCCTTGACCGCTGTGATAAATGTCATGCCTCTCCCTGCAATCTTACTCACATGTTCTACTCTTGCCCATTGGTATTCTGCTTCTGGCAGAAGTATTTCGGGAGCACCTCAGAAATACTGTCCATTACGGTTAAACCCTCTCCCCATAATGCCATATTTGGGTATCCGGAGGATTGTAACAGGTACAATTCGAACCAATTGGATCTCTTGGCATTCACTTCCTTGTTAGCAAGACGGCACCTTCTTTTCCATTGGAAATCCACAAAGCCTCCCTCCAGCACTCAGTGGCTTAGGGATGTAATGTCCTTTCTAAAATTGGAAAAGATTAGGTACTCTCTGGGAACCAATTCTGACAAGTTTCACAGGAAGTGGCAGCCTTTCTTAACCTCTGCCATCTTTGCCTTCTGATTGAGGGAGTACCCCCCCCCCCCATTTTATTTATTTGAATTAGGTTTTTTTTATTTATTTAGTATTACTTTATTTATAAATTTATTTATTAATTTATTTTTTATTATAATTTTTTTTCTCTTTTTCTTTTTGTTTCTATTGGGTATGTATGGATGTATGAATGTGTGTTCTAACCGGTACAAAAAAGAAAAAAAAAAAGTTTGGCTCCCAATTTGTTGAGTCACTGAGATAGAAAAAACAATTTCTGTAACTTTTTTTTTCCTTTTACACTTGAGTCTCAGTGTACTAAAGTTTGCTCGTTTGTTTCTCTTACCAATGTGCCATCTCTTCCAATAAAAATATATTTTTTAAACAAACAAAATAAAAAACCTATTCAGCTGGTTCCTGCCTCCTTTGCCCATCCTCCTCCTCAAAAAATGTCCTGAGGGGGCTCATGACTTCAAGCCATTTCAGTGTGGCACTGACCCAATCTCCCTTCCCCTGTTGCTCCCACAACAGCTAGTTCTTCTACTGGAGCGTCTACTAGAGCTCAAAAAAAACTGCTGCATCCATTTGTTGGTCAAGTTTTTTGTCACGGATGGAAATGGAGGTGGATACAAGTGCAGATAATTTATTGTGTAAAATACAGCTGCAACAAAAGAAAACATGACAAGAACAAAAGACACAGAGCTTAATTTGAGCCAGATATATAAAATATAGCACACCTGCATTCCAGAACCTTTTTATGTGGATCCAGCACCTCTCCAGCTGGATGTCTCACAAAGCAATATTATCAAAAAAATTGTTTTTAATTCACAAAAAGTAAAATAGAACAACAAAAAATGTGAATCTTACATTACTGCTACTGCAATACTGCTAATAGCCAATCAATAGCCTTTTTCACATAACGTAATGAGTTCAAGTTCAAAGTTCACCTGAATTCATTGTCACAAAGTGACACTTACAGTGTTGAAGCATGAGTTACAGCGTGTGTCATGGTGAAAAGAAAGCGGTTAACATTAACAGAATTTTTAAGCATACCAACAATGACAATGATTACATTTACATGCAGCAATAATCTAATTATTGACCTTAATCACAATATTGTCTTATTCAGAATAAGTTGTTTACATGAGTTGCATTCAGAATATTCCTTTCATGTTCCCGTTGTACATGTTATAGAAAATAGATCGATTAATGGCACGCACCATTGCGTCACCACACCACGCCGTCCGATGTTCCATCCAGAATTTCATGTATCAACATACATTTGGTCTTCGTTATGGTACTGTATACAGTTTTGGGTGTTTAATTTTTAATTTTGTGAAAGCTTCAAGTGCAGTTAATTATTTGTCATGCTATACGTGCAAATAAACGGCTGCTTGGGGACATGACTGCGTCCAAAACCATATAATTACCTACTATATACAGTATCTCACAAAAGTGAGTACACCCCTCACATTGAATTCACAAGAAATGACACTTTGATACAATGTAAAGTGTGACATAAATTTTCCATACCGCTTATCCTACACAGGGTTGTTGTGGCTGGAGCCTATCACAGAGAACTCAGGGAACTGGGTGGGGGACACTCTGGATGGGGTGCCAACCCACTTCAGGACAACTGACATTTATAAACGCGTATTCCCATATACAGCTGCTGTCACAAAAAGTGATCATGTTGGTTTTAATCTCAAGTTGACATCATGTACAAGTGAAATAATAGAAATTGATCAAGATTTCACTTTTGGTAAATCTTGGTTTTGGTTTGGTATTCCTAGAGCTACATAAGCCTTTTTGTACATAAAAACATCATTATTACTTTAATTTAAAATTAAGTTCACCCATTAGTATCCGAGTCAAGTGAGGTCTAGTTTATATTTCTGCAATTGTGTAAACATGCAGGGAATAATTTGTGTATGCTCAACTACACCTATCTATGTGCACATGTACTATATACATGTACCAAACCAGAATTTACAGGAAACAGAAAGCAAAAAATCAGAAGTCTTAGAGTGCAAAACAAATGGAGAGCTATGTGTTTCACTGCAGCAATAATGGATAGAAAGTGGCAAGGGTGTAACTTTGCTTTCAACAGCATGATGACTGTGTAAATAAAAAGAACAAAAACAAGAAACCTTGCAGGATCAATTATAAACCAAGTCATTTTGCACTAAAAGCATTTCTAAAGCATTCACTCATTTGTATAAAGCAATGTCAAGTGGGTATTGAAGCACTTCAATTTAACTAGTGTTGACATCAATAATTCTAACTATCAAGAAATTATGCTTTAGAATTATTTAAAAATTGAGTTAGTTTACATCACCTATATTGTGTCTTTACTGGAAGAACATTCTATTCTACAGGAGTAAATTGGCCATTTATAGCTATCTGGAAGAGAGACCATTGATTACACAGACCAAGGAACTAAGAGTGTGAAGGACTGATATTTTTAGAAAGCATTTTTCATCAGTTTCTGGTGTTATTATATACATATATGTAAATGTGCTACATTGCACATTTCAGCTCAAAACAGTTCAATGAAGATACATAAACCATCCATGAGAGCTTTTAAAAATATGAATCTCAGAAATATGAAACTGCATAACTATTAATATCAACATCTTCACCATGTAACAGTGTTATACAACATGTTTCATGGTAATTTTACCATCATATGCCAAGTACAGTTGGGCATCTTTTGGAAGTGTCACCTTTATTCATTTTTTTCCAAATAACTTTAATGTTACTATATCACATCACTATGACTGATTCTGACATACCAGAAGTACACTGAGCTACAAAGTCAGTGGTCATGTTGGAATAATTTAAGTCACCCTAGAAAAAGTCAACATAATCTGTTGTCAGCAAAATATGTCATTTGTATCAGGGGTTAATTTGAAAACAGAATCAACAACTGCAGTATTTATGTGAGCTGGCAAGTGTTTGAATAAGCCTTCATAATTTATTATGTAGGTTCATGTCACTTGTCATGTAGTCCTTCATTTATCTTCACTAAGCACTTTATCCTAGTCAGGAGCTCAGGGTCTTTCCTGGGAATGCTTTTTGTGAGGTAGGAATACATGTGTCTCTCATGTGTGATGCGTGTCCACCCACTCATCATGAATGGAGTGCAGTGCTTGATTACTTTTGGCGTGTCTATTACTTTTGTCAGTTGCAGGTAGATTTGTTCTTTGATCATTTTCCTTATAGGAGGGGTTTGGGGAACACATCCTCAACCTATAGAACATAGAAAAGAGACAAGCAAATGTGGTTAAATTCAAAAGTATAAATCAGCTCTAACTATGTTTGTGCTGTTTGGAGCCATTGCTCTGAGCAGTCCCAGGGCTGCCCTCTGTGCAGCGCTATGCATATGCTTATTTGTTACTTAGTTCAGTGGTTAAGACATTGGACTACTGATTAGAAGGTTCCGAGTTCAAATCCCAGATCAGGGCATCTGCTAAATGCTGTAAATGCAGTAGTTGTATGCCATTTAAGACAAATATTTTACATTGACAAATTACTATCATGTTAATGTTTCATTTTGGAGCAGTAAAGTTATACACAATTACTCTTCCTGCATTCAGTATCTTCAAATTGGACTGCAATTCATTTAACTAGCACACCAGCACCATGAAGCCTTAGGCAATAGCAACCACACTATAATGCACCATTAACACTCTGCTCTCTCAGTGAGAGAGCTAGAATAACAACAGAGTGAGATAACACATATGTAAACTGATGAAATGAAACCCATATTCTCAAGTTTGTCACAGACAGATCTCAGAATAATTAATTTCCAATTTATGCCAAATAACAGTTTTCCCCAACTTTCCAAATTGTACATTTTGCATATAGTTAAGCCACTGCAGTTTCTCTCACACAGATCCATCCAGATTTTTTGGCAGCATGGAAACTAACTGATCAGTGTGTTGATTCTGGTGAGTGTGATTTTGTGGGAGATTCTGTGAGTAACATTAATTTGTTTAGAAATTATTTTTTTCCTAAATTTTCTCCAATAATAAGTAAGAAAACAGCAAGCCAATTCTGGTGCAGCATAATAATAAGCAACTTAATAATAAGCAACATCTACACTTCTTAATGGCCAAAAGATCCCAGTTCCAACTTCTTATTCTTATTATCTAAACATGTCTCTCAGTAGTTACTGCTGGTGGTGTGGGGACCTGAATTGGCTCATAATGAAGGTAATATTCATCTCCACAGTCTTCATCTGAGTCTTCTGGCTGTGCAACATGCGTGTGCCTTCTTTTCTTTTTACTTTTGTCATTTTTAGTTACTTCAGGCTGTGTCTCAAAGGGTAAGTGATCACAGGACATGGGCACGTTTCTATGCAGGACCCTGGAACGTTCCTTACCCTTTTCCCTTGGTCTCACTTGACAAATCCCATTTGTCTCACCACTGTGTGAATTCTATTTTCCCAATAGTCACGGAGTTTACCTGGTCCTCCTCTTGGTGTCAAGTTTTTGATCAGGACCCACTCAACAGGCTGTAGCACTGTGCTCCACACTTTGGTATTGTAATACCTTTTACTCCTCTCAGCAGCTTTCTGAGCATTCTCATTTGCAATAGCATAACCGGTCACTTCGCAATGGGTACAGTTATAGGCATACACCATTTTGTTCAGAGACCCTTTCCAGTTCAATTTCTGTGTTTCAATCAGTGTCTTAAGCATTTGCAACAATGTTCTGTTCATCAGCTCCACTTGGCTATTCCCCATCGGGTGATATGGTGGTGTTCTGGACCCGGCCATGCCACTGAGTTTCTTAAAGTGAATGAACAACTGATTTTCAAACTCTCCCCCTTGGTCATGATGAATGCAGTAGGGAAACCCAAACTTGAGAGCAAAGTCATTGAAGATAAGGTTTGCAGCAGTTTTTCCTGACTTTTTGACGTGATGGCATATGCTTGAACAAAATGGGTGAAATGGTCAACAATGACAAGGATGTACTCATATCCACCTTTGCATCCGTCGAGATGGAGGGAATCAATACATACGAGTTCAAATGGCTGTGTTGTCACAATATTTGTCAAGGGAGCTCTCATTTCATGGCATGGCTTTTTATGCTTGAGACAGGTGCAAGCTTTTGTCACATAGTGCTCAATGTCAGATTGCATATAGGGCCAGAAGAAGTGTTCACGTACTAGCAACACTGTGCGGATGGCACCTTGGCGTCCCATGTTAGTGTGCAGCTTTTCCAGTATTTTTCTTTGTACTGTTCTGGTAGGACCAACTGTTTGTGGGCTTTGGTTTTCCTGTACAGAATGCCGGCACTGTCTACTGTCAGCTTTTCCCAGTCTCTGAACAGGCATTTTGTCTTTGGGCTGAATGACTTTAGCTCTCTAGCTAGCTGTTTGGAGCCTGACAGTTTACTATCTAGCACAGGACAGATGCAATGGTCCGATCTTTGTGCATCTCTTAACTTATCTTTTGGTATAGGACTGACTGATGCAGTGGTTATCTCACCTTTGGTGGAGACTGACATACATATTGCTGAAAATGGCAGGGTTGCTTCTTGAACCTCAACGGCCTGAATTGTGGCAGCTATGGCGTCAGCCAACTCTGCAACCCACCTGGAAGTGGTTGCATTCAGTTTTGCAGTGGAGAGGACATACGTGAGTGGGTTGTTGTCACTATACACAGTGAAGGCTGGGTCATAGTATAAATAATCCCAAAACTTGTCAATGACTGCCCATTTTAAAGCTAGAAATTCTACCTTGCCTGCATGATAGTGGTAGTTCTTCTCAGCCGCTGTCAATGAGCTGGAGCCATAGGCAATGACTCGCAGTTTGCTATCTTGCTTTTGATACATTACTGCTCCCACACCTTGATGTGATGCGTGAGTGTGTACTATGAATGGCTGAGTTAAATCAGGGAACCCTAACACTGGTGAATGGAGCAAACAGTCAATCAGCTGTTCAAGTGCCTGCTAGTGTTGGGTGGTCCACATGATTGGCTTGTCTAAGGGCACAAATCATTTCCTTTGTTTTTGTTTTTCTTGTGTTTTCAGGGACCTCATTTGAATCTGCTTTCAAGAGATCATACAGGCAACTGGCCTTTCTGGAAAAGTTTTTAATGTACTGCCTGTAGTATGTGAGTAACCAAAGCATTTTTCTGAGCTGGCCCACATTCTGTGGTCTGATGTCTTGCAAGGCCCTAACTGCTTCAAAATCTGCTATATCAACTCTATTTCCCTCTGCAGAGACTAAACCTGAAGTCCGTTATTTGGTGAGAATAAAGAGGTCGCACTTACTTGGTTTGAGTTTGATGCCATACTCTCTGAGGCATTTCAGCACTTTTCGCACATCATCCACATGATTTTCAAAGCTTTTACTGAAGACCAGTGTGTCATCCAGCTAAGGAATGCAGAGGTCATACCGGAGCCCTTCCAATCATTCCTCCATACAGCGTTGGAAAGAAGCAGGGGCATTCATGAGGCCGATAGGGATGCGTATCCACTCAGAGTCCCCATGGAGTAACAAAATCTGGCATTGGTCTGCTCTCTTCAGAAATAAATCCCTGGTGGTAAGCTTTTCCCTAGTCCAGGAGAGAGTACCAGGAATTACTACACAGACTGCCCATGATGTCTTGGAACCGGGGGATGGGCTGGCAGATGGGATGGGTCTTACTGTTCAGGTCTCTGTAACCTATACACAACCGAAGGGTGCTTAACTTACATCCACCTGTAACTTACATCTACAGGTGGATCACTACTATCACATGGGGCCTGGATGCTGGTGTGGTTCACGGTGGCTGATGTTGAAGCCTTTTCAAAAATCTGGGCAGATATACTTGTCATTATGGTTTGTACTGTCCCAATTACAGTGCCCCCTGGCAAAACAATGTCGTGGTCAGTTGGGTTAGAATCATCAACTGTGATGACTGGAAAAACACCTTTCTTGACTCTGACTAGTGTGTTATAGAACTCAAGTTCATCTGGCCACTGGGGGTTCACTTCTGGCTGAAACAACATGGTCATGTCATCTTTAAAAGCCTGGGCAGCTACATGACACTCAATCTGAATGCTACTGTGTTTTTGTACTGCACCCATCTCTTTCTTTGTTTTCACTGCATACTCATTTACCTGTTCTACACGATCAGCCTGTATGAAAGCTCTCACCTTGTTTCTTTAGAGACTTGGGAAAGATTTCTTCACAGTACTATACAATTTGCTCTTATTAGTCTTTGACAAGATGTGCTCGATGACATTAAAACCTGTGATGGGACAGGTGACACCCTTTCATCACAAGCATTGGAATCAGCAGTTCATTGGCTTGGTTGGTTTCTGAGGCAAGCTGGAATGTTGTCATTTCAGTTCAATATGCTGCAGTCAATGTGAGGTCAGGTGAGTCCAGGATTTCTGAAACATCTCTCAGTCTGAAGCTCGGTAAGTATTCCCCTTTCCATTTTTCATCAATGACTGACACCTGGGACCTTGTGTCCCATAAAGCTTGGAGTTGGTGGCCATTCAGATAGCCTTCAACAAGACCCTGTCTGCCAACTAGTGAGGTGATTTTGCGCAAAGTTGCCAACTGGAGCTAGGGGTGGCAAGTAGTGTGCATTTTTGCCTTTGCAGGGAGACTTTCCATTGTCCTTGTCTGTTATCAGGCGAGTGCATTTCTTTTTGTTTTCAGTCCAATGTTGTTGTTGCCATGCTCTGGAACAATACAGGGTCTCTTTACAGGATGAACATTGCTTTAGCTCCTTTGGTGAATCTTTCTTGCCACAATTTGCCCAGTTCTGGTACGTTCCACTGGCTATGGTTAACACTCATCCCTCAGTGGTAACCCTCTCTCGTTTAAAGGAGCCTCTCTTGATGGTTCAACTCCTTTGATTTTGCACCCAGCTTGGAAATGTTCTCCACTCCCACATCGGTAGCAGTGCGTACAATGTTCATTGGATCTAGTCTGAGGGCAGACAAAGCACTTCCTTCGGACGTGAGCAGAGTAGTTAGTATACAGGTGAGGGGCATACTGGGGCTGTGTTGGGGCCGTTGCTTGGGACTGGCTCTGGCTGCTATAATACTGCTGGTAGGAAACTGGCTGGGGGTCTCTACTGGGGTTGAAACATAGGCTGTTGTAGTGTGTTCTTAATCTGAGCTATTTCTGCACTAAGACCCTTAAGAGAAGCAACACCTGTCTTAAGTTCTGCTAACTCTCATCAATTCAGGTGGTACCTTAGCTCTAGCTTCTTTCACAGAGCACTTTGTAGGGTGGTGAATCCTCTGACTGGACCACACTTACACTTGTAGCTGACTGGGGGGTGCTATATCTCTTTTTATTTCTTCATTCTGCCTCATTTTCACAGACAATGTTTAACCTCTCATTTAAAAGCTCATCTGAGGTTTCAGTGTCTAGCAGAAGGGGCTGCATGTCTGTCCTGATACTGTCATTCTGGAGACCAGTAAGCACTGTGTGTAGACTCATACGCTGGACCA